GGAGACAGCGCCGGCGCCAGGGCAAGCCTCCCTCCCTTAGGGACTAGGAGGCGAGCTCCCAGGAGGGTGCGAAACAGACAGACAGATTTGATAAACTCGTGATTTTGTATTCTTAATCGCTATAGCTGGAGTTTCTAGGGAATGGACTAGCGTAGGGAGCAGTTTATAGACCCTGCCCAAGGGACTGAGAGCACGTAGTCGCAGCTGCGGGCGCAGTGCACTACAGTGCATGTTTGTTGTGACAGGTTCGTAGGTTGCTCCTAAATACTTTGTTGGCAACGAGCGGCTTGCGAATGTGGCTTTAGCTGTGCAGGCTATTGTCACTTCACATTTGTGCTCTCCGGATTCTGCCAATGCTAGCTTTGTAGCTGGACCGTCGTCCAGAGCTCCAGCTGCTCCATTCGGAGTCTGCGGAGAAACGCAATAACCAATGTCGCTGGCCATAATTCCCGACTGTAAGGGCCCTCGTTGACGGGTTTACGGCATTCGTCAAGGAAATACCTTTGAAATTTGTGACGCTTACTGGCTTTCGTAACAGTGGAAGGGCAAACAGTATGCGTAAAACGACAGCGAGTGGTAAGATGGTTAGCTGGTTCCCATGTGGCTTGCTCTTCAGGGGTCCCGCGCCACTTCACGAGGTACTGGGCTGCATCTCCCGAGCCGCGTTGGTCCATAATATAGTCGACTTCATATTCATCTGTGGGATTGCCTGCTGCATCGTGCATAGGAGGCCAGGCAGCATCGGCTGCCGAGGGAACCAAAGCGGGAGGGCGGGAGCGGTGGGGAACTAGCTGCGAAACGTGGAAAACATCATGGCATTCATAAGTGGGAGGCAGAGCGAGACGGTAAGCAACAGTTCCTATACGTTCGAAGAGTTCGAAGGGCCCGCGGTGGCGGGGCTCGAGCTTAGGGCAGCTGTTGAAAGGCGGTAGGTGCTTGCTGCTGAGCCAGACCTTATCTCCCACTGCGTATTCCACTGCTCGACGCTTTGTGTCTGCGTAATACTTCTGCTGCCATTTCGCCTTCAGGATGTGACTCTGCGCTCTGTCGCAGAGCTGCCGAAAAAGCTTAGTCATGGGAGGAGTGAGTGTAGGAGCTAACGCGCCTACGACATCAAGTTCCGCCGCAATCAATGGGTTTTCTCCAATCATGACCTCGAAAGGAGAGAGCTCTGTGGATGAATGACTTGTTGTGTTGTAGGCAAGTTCCAAGGCTGGAAGCAAACGCTCCCACTCGCGTTCATCAGATCTGATATATGTACGCAGCATCTGCTCCAATGTGCGGTTCACCCGTTCGGTTTGGCCGTCGCTTTGGGGAAGGTAGGACGAGGACATGCACCGTTTGATGTTGAAGCGGGATGTCTCGACCAAGGTTTCCAGACTAACCTT